ATATGACAGATAGTTTAATTATAAGCTTCATATTTCAACCTATACAGCATGAAGTTGAATAGCCAGATTGGTTTCCCGTTAGGTAAATACGGAAATGAATATTGGAAAACCTGTTAATTCATTTTTTATATCTTTAGGACAAGTTTCAGCATCGTTGGATGTTATCCTAGACATGTCTTGCTAGGCCATGACTTCTAATAGGATGTTACGGAGTAACTAGTTTACCACAAAAAAGGTATAAATATAAAAGTCTTACTTCTAGACTAAGTAATGAATTGCATTTCATTAATAAAACTCAATCAGGTTCTACTCCAGCCTTTTTTTTAATCCCATATCTGACCAGCTAGATTACAAACCCAATGAGCTGAAAACCTTTGACATCAGAACAAGCTATTCCTTATTTATGCCATATTATGAATAATATCTTTATCCAATGTTGTACATGATATTGCAAAGATGTCTTCTTTTCCTTGAACAGAAAAAGACCAAAAGGTTCAAAACTATGGCCACGTCGCTAATATCTTTAACAGGGTACCTTAATTTGCTTTATATATTTATAGTTGTCTAATCCAAATAAAAGAAAAACTTCTTATTGAGTTAGCTACACAAAAAGTAATCACAAATTGTGAAGCCAGTAGCAATATTCCAAATATGTATGTATGACGACTTTTGTTCTTGAAGACAAGCTGATAATATATAGGTGAGGTGCTTTCCACAATCCTGCATATATTTCTGATATTCATGAGGAAGAAATTATCATCATGATGAATAGATGTAAGCATATCATTTGGACTTATAATTTCCCAAGATCAATATTCAAAACTCAATGCTCCCCCTTCTGCTGAAGATGCCAATACCAGCTTATAGATTATGCTTGAGTAGTATTACCAATTTTAGCATAGGGTTGAATTACCATTTGGTACATACAAAAAGTTTTGAAAATAATCAATTGACAAACTTTGGTTTTGTATTCATCTACGATCAATTTCACTACAGTATTGATCTTAAATGAGGTAAGCATTGTACAATGACTTCCATCTACTGCAAAGTTGACGTAACTGAAGGAGATGATTAAATCAAATAAACTAGACAATAACAGGTGGAAAAGAATCTAACAACAACCTGAAGCATTTTGAACGCCTGCAGCCGTATTTCAGAAGACCACTCCTTCTTAACTAAAATGATGGACGTACTAGCCAAGATACGTACATCCCCAGCTTTAAACTGCAAAATTGAAACAGTTCATGGCTATTACACAACCAAGGAAAGAATTTCAAAAATAGCAAGCAGCACAGACTAAAAAGAGGCCAATTGAGAACAGACATTCAGTCTTATCCTTAAAAAGAGTAATCCACAGTTTAAAGAAATTGTCATATAATTATAGTATACGAAAAAGGACAAGGAACATTACAGAGATTTTCGATAACAACATACTCAGTCAACCAATGCAGATAGAAGTTTGATCCAAGCAATATACATAATACATGCATCACATATATCATCAGTTTGAAGGTTTAAACCAAAATTTAAGCATCAAAGAAGGATTGTAACAACAACTAGAAAATATACCAACCACTACTTTGTTTCAATATCTCTGAATTCAGATTAAGTTAATTCATTAAATCATTTATACAATGCATACTCCAAAATTCTGTTTTTAGTATGCTTACATTAACAATCAGCTACCATAATTTCAATCATCAAAGTCTCAAATTAGGGCTAGAATGATCCTTACATACCCATAAAATGCACAAAAGGGGTTCCACACATTTGATCAAATAACCAAACTTTAATCAATTTCATCAACACACTCAAACACACCAAGAAAACTGAAATGGGTAATTACAATATACAACAATGGGTATCAAAATTAACAGTTCATACATTCAAAATTCAACAATTCGATCATAATCAAAATTTAAAATTCTAAAAAAAAAAAAAATTACAACTCAAAAAGCAAAGTTAAGAGATAATACAGATTCTAAGTAAGCAAAGGCAGCCCTGCGAGTATCTGGGGTAGAGCTCCAATCAAGAGCAGCGGTTATGGCTTGAGCTACATTGTTTGCTATGTTACCACTTTCTTCCATTTTTTTATTTTTATTTTTAAATTTGTAATTTTTTGGGTTATTTTTGGGAGAATCAAATAGGGTTTTTTTGGGTACCCAAATAAAATTTATATAGAAAATTAAAAGGGGTTAGATTGAAGAAGAGTTTGCTTTGATTTGGCGCAAAAGAAAGCACAAATACCCTTAAAACACAGAAGAGAGAAAACAGAAAAGAGAGTGTATGAAATTTGGAGTAGAACAAGGGAGGAGAGAGAAAGTGAAGCAAAGTGGTTTATTTTGGTATTTATAATTAACAATGTTTTTGAAGTGAATAAAGCATTCATAATTATCCTTATTTTCAGGAAACGGCACAATACTATTTTATTAATTATGGCCTAAATACAACTCAATATGTTTCCATAATGCACCATTAGATTAGTACTAATATTTTACTCTCGATCTCTCGTCAATATCAACAAGACAACGAGGTTTTGGCCTAGTGGTTAATAATTTAATATTGAGGGGTTGTGTGCTTAACTGCTTATATCTCTGTTTCATATAGGCATGTTTATTCATCATAAAACACGCGAAATTACCACAATAAGCAGTAATTTATTATTGGACGGATTACTCTATGGTCATAAATAAGTAGATCATCTCACATCTCCACAATTGGTATATAGGGGTGTTCATAAATCGATCCGGACCGAAAAAATGGACCGCACCACCCCGGACCGCACCACGGTCCGGTCTTCGGGTCTTGAAATTCATTTTTTCGGTCCGATCAGGTCCAAAACCCTATAAAAACTGATCTTGGACCGGACTAGTTTTTTTTATTAAAAATATGCGTGAAACCTTAAATAATGGTTAAAATTATCCTTAATAAACTTAGAAAACTTTAACTTTATAAGTTTTTTTGTACTAAACATACTAAAAAGACGTAAAAATGACGTTAAAATATAGTTTTTCCTTTACTTTTTTTCGTGTTTTCCATTACTTTATTAAAAATTTAGAACTCTTTTAAAAAAATTCTTAAATCGGTCTAAAGCGATCCGGTCCGGGTTGGACTGATTCTTTCGGTTCGGTCCTATCTTAATCGGTCCGGTCTTCGGTTCTTAAAATTCTTATTTTCGATCTGGTCTTGGACCCGATGAACAGCCCTAACTGTAAATAGGCAATTATTGTGAGAGATTTTTGTGTAATTACAATAATTATGAGTTAAATGGATAAAATTTATTTTGTTATTAAATGTGAACAACATCACTCCATAAGGAAAGATATCATTTTTATTTTTGTATTGACGTGTATATCATGGTATTGAATTAAAAATGTGGTGTTTAATAATGAAAGTTTTAGCACAACTTAGTCCAAAAAATTGTGTGTTACATATGAAGAAATAAATTAACAATTTTCACGACCAAAATATTAAACACGTTGAATATTAAACATCCGTGAATATTTGATCAGAAAATTTTATTGAGATTTTGAAAATTTTCTAATTAGATACTCCATACTGAATAACTCATTTAAGTTATAAACAAACAAAATAAAATGGAGTAATCCATTCTTATTAATAAAATGGGTGTGACTTGCCTAGTGCCAGAATAAACTTGTTAAGCCTTCACATAATTAGATGAATAAAATTTATTAAGAATTTGAGATTGGTTTCCAAACCTAAAAATTAAATCCAATAAGATTTGGTTACGATGTGAACAATTAATTACAATTCTAGCTGCTATAAATCCATAAGTTATTGCATTGGCGGATGCGGCTAACATTAAGGCACAAATGGTGATTCTAAGTTTCTAACATTATTCTTTCATTATAACTTGGAATTTTTTTATTGGATTAATCACATGCTTAGTCGTATGAACTTCCTCTTTGATCCCTTATTTTCGTTCAAGCCATGATCAAAGTATTTCTGAATAATTCATAGTGTAGTGTTTAGCGTAAGTGAAAATCTTGGATCTGCCAAGGTTATTGTCTTGCATTAAAAGAGGGTATGTTTGCATATATGAATTTATTTTGTGAGTTTACCCTTTTTTTTTTTTTGCAATGTTTTAGAAAAAAGTTTGTTATCTTTCGATCAATTGGCAAAAAAAAAGTATAGTTTGGTAGTTTATTTCGAGGTGAGTTATCTTTCGATCTTTAAATTAGTACAAGCTTTCGAAGTTTGTGGGTGACATTTTTTATGTCATAATTCGTCCATCATAATCCTGATAATAAGAATTCACCATTTCTCATAGTTTGTTTTCATAAGCATGGAGAGGTAGAGGGAAACTGGAATTGTTAAAGGAAATGTCAATTTCTTATGTTGTTTGTTAAAGGGTAGATTGGTAGGAATATAGTTTGACTTGTGTTACTTGGGGTGTAAGGACTTGTGCTTGGGGTGCAAAGATTGAATACTACAACCCTTTTCCTAACAAACAAAAGTAAACCACTTTCTTTTTTTTTTTTCTTTTTTTTTTTTTTTGACCCATAAGTAAACCACTTTCATCAAAGAGATTCCAACTAAACTTTTCAAAAGAAGATGGATGTAGGTATCATCAACAAAAATTTATTTCAAAAGAAGATGGATATAGGTTATATAATCCAAGGAAATTCAAAAACAAACATTTAAAGTGTACTCTTCTTAAGGCTATCTCACAAGCACACAAAATTAATTTATTGTTACTACATCAACGTGCATGCATTACTCAAGTGCTCAACTAGAGTTGACAAATGTGAACCAACACCAGTCAAACACCTTTTTTTTTTTTGGGTATGTTACAAATGTGAGTTTTTCAGTTATATGATTAAGCCACGTACAATGAAAACCCCAACAAATTCTCAATAAAAATGCCTGGAGATAAATGTACGTCGCTGTTGGCTGTCGCCATAGAGATTGAAGAGTAGTCCATGTATAATCCAGTCATTTATACAATTTCGCCTTAGCTAGAGAAGGAAGAAGAAACCTGACAATAAGAAACTAGGAAAAATAACATGGCTAACAGAGGGTGGCAAAAATTGTACTGTAATATCCAAAACAATCAACGCACATCACTTTCTCAAAGAATAGAGATCTCTCTATAATAAAAGGAGGGTAAAATTACACATGAGGGAACTTCCCCGCGTTCCAGCACATAGTACAAGGAAAATTTCTTTTAACATTGGGGAAGTTTTTTTTTCCTTTTAACGAAAAAAACTTCAAAAAAAGAAATAAAAATCAATTATACCTCTAAATACACTTCACCAGCCTTCTCATGATGAACATGTTTGCACCTTTATAAAAGCTTGGCCACTGAAAAACCTCAGAATAAAGGGTCCAGTTTCAAGCTTCAAGAACTAGGGCTGAATGTCTTCTCACTATCCTGGACTCATTTTCCTCGAGCTCGAGAACTACTGATATCTCTTCGGCCTGTTGATTTGGGTTCATTACCCTCGACAACATTCTTTTTCTTTCGCCTAGGGCCCCCAGCAGAAGCAGGGTCCACCAATGGACCAGACCAATGTTGCCCTGCCCCTTTAGAGTATGTAAATGAAGTGGAACTGTAAGGAATATCAGCTGGGATGTTTGCAGGATCAATGTGCTGCGAAGCACCCAAGGGGTATCCAAGCCCTCCATCCTGGTGTGGTGGAGGGAACTTCTCACTCTTACTCTTTGCATTTGCATGCGTAATTATGCGCCGCCTCTGCTTCAAGACATAAATACATTAAAAAAAACAAGAATAGTAAAAAGAACAATTTAAAACAGAAATGTTTATCAGTTGAAAGAGCCAGAACAGTTTCAAATCCTTTCATTTACCTCTATGCAAACCATAAACATTAAAATGTACGAAGTAGTATCTTACTTAGAACTTCACATTAGTTTTCTTTCAGAGGATAAACAAATTCTTGATTTAACTTTGATACTAATTGAACAGAAGAGCATGATGCTTCCCCTCATCACTTCCTTTGTTAGAAGTTGCAGACCATAAGAAAGAGTTGCATAATAACTGCAACATTATTAAATTTGGCTATGGAATCTCTCTCCCTCTCCTTATCACATGGGTCTCTCTTTATATATATATATATTATATATATATATATAGAAAATGTGTTCATCTCTTAGATGTTGCAATCATAAAAATAGGTACTACATATTTAAAAAAAGGAGATATTATGTAAAAGGTATAAGCGTCCATGTAACAAGTTTAAGATTGCAAATGCCAAGCAATTATACCTTTTTTTTCAAGGTAAGAATGAAGTAAAATTAAAAAATTTCACAGCGTCGTCATCCACTTACAATTGAGCTAAAGAGCTACTTTGCCTGCTTTCTTACTTAAATCCAGAATACAGAGCTATTAGCCTATTATCAACTAACAAATTTCTCAGTCCAAAATTATAACAGCTGAAAATATTTTTTGAGCTGCAGATGGATGCTAGAAATGTCATTGATAACAAAGAGTTCTGAACTCTACTCAATTCTGTTTCCTTCCATCTGATTTAACTAGTTCTGCTGTTCTGCAAGCTAAAATTTTGACTTTATATATAGTTCAACCATTTCACAGAAACACGCTCATAACCTTAGATAAATTTGGCTATCCGTGTAGACCTAGGTCTGTTCTACACTAGAGTAGACACCCAATCCACTAAGTTTAGGATTTAGAAGAGAAGAGTGATGTGGAGTTGAAATGGGATCTGGCAGGATGGCATTCCTTTGGCAGAAAGTTCATATACACCTTCCATCCTATATGAATTTTTAGCTAGCTTTGGGATGTCCAAAAACGCAACTTCACAATTCACACATCCTTTTCAAGTTTAGTAAACAATCTAATTATTACTTTTCTATCTTTACTCCATCAATCTTCTTTTCTCATTCCCAATACTTCTTTAACTGCCTTTACATTTATATATATTCATGCCCAACCCAGACGTGAAAATCTTAGATAGAATAGAGGGGGTATGATATAAGATGACAGAAAAAGCAACATAACATACATCAAGATTGGCCTGAAGCTCTGCATTAGCTTCAGGGGCTGGCATAGCCCGTTGACGATCACGTGTTCGACTTTTCTTTGTTGCGTCACCTTGTGCTTTACTAGCAGCTCTTAGCCTACATACAGAAAGGTAAAGCATCATTAATCAAAAATTACAAAAAACAGATTCTAGGCTATGATTTAAAATGAAAAGTAGTACAACATAAGGTGAATTGATGGCTAGCTGGAAGAGACTGGAAAGGATATACAAAAAGGTATACAGGACAGAAGCACAAAATATAAACTCCTACTTGATTTTAGGCATAGCATTTGTTAAATTGCACTAATGGATGCATTTTTGTGCAAGCATAATTTTGCAAGCATTAGATGAATAAATTCTGCAAGGTCGCCATGATATACCCTCTCTCTTTCAGTCAAAGTAAGCCATGTATCCAAACTCCTCCCAATACCCTACCAAGAGACTCACAATCTTTGCTGCCCTACCTCATGATCCAATAATGCCTTAGCTAAGGTCAGAATTTATCAAATCACCAAGAAAATCTAGAGTAAAATTTTACTGTTCCATGTCAATATTCCCATTCCAATGAACTCTTCCCTCAAATAATCAAATGTAAACAGCTTTACCCCCATGGATCAAGGTTTACCATGAAACTTAAATTAACAAATTCATGCCTCTAAAATAAATAATCAACAGGGGGAAAGGAGTGAAAAGCAAGTGATTCCACTTCAAATAAATGTTCATTGTGGAGCTTGATGTCCAGTCACTCTAAAGAAAGCATTATCCTTTCCTAAAACATATCAGTGGGAATTATGAGTCTTAGGACAGTGAAATAATGATGTGGTATTGTGGTTACAAGAAAAAGATATTGTGAAATGAGAAAGATTTGGATAAACAGTTTATACACAAGCATATGCACTAATGCCCAAGAAATTAAGGAATGGAGTTAACAACAAAGGTTGAGTTATAATATCTGAATGAATTCACAAAACACACTTGATGTAGTAGTACTCGTGGACAGGAATCTATCTGATCATCTGATGACCCAACAATTCATAAGCTATACCCATTTGGTGCCAGAAATAACATGAGTAGGACCAGAAGTAGTAAAACTAATGTAACTTTTTGAGTGGGGAAAGTAGTCTATGATAATTTTGCAAATGGCCAAGAAAAAAAATAAATAAAACACCTTTTCCAGGAACTTTAAGGAAAAGAAAGGTACTTGACAGAAGAATTTATGACTACTCTTTCCAATACAAAGTGAAAAGATAAGGTACAAAGATTGCCATGCAAAATTCTTCAGACATACGGGCCAATCATAAGAAAAATTATAAACTACACTGACAGCTTACCTTCGCGCTTCGTCATCACGCCGTTTGGCATCCATCTCCTTGGTTGGTGGATATTTGGGAAGCGTTGATGGATCACAAGCAAGAGGTTCAGTACTGAAGAACTGCAGAGAACAAATAAGAAGAACCAACATCAATTCAAAGAAAACAAACCATGTGTTTAGTAGTTTAAGACCATAAATTAAAATTCTTCCAACAGTGGTTGTACATATTTGTAAAATAATGTGGAGCTTCAATGCTTTAGTTCCCAACACATAGAAATTTTCAATTGAGAAAGCTTGCCTAAGATGTTTCATAAATGATAAACAAAATTTCACATGGATGATGTCAGCAATAAAAAAAAAAGGACACAGGCAAATCAAACATCACCTTAACACAAGGAAATGAAAGGATCTTATGCTCAACTATAAACCAGCATGTGCAAATAATCGGAGAACAAAAGCATGAAGTTAAATTTATAATATAAAAGGGCGCAAATAACATATTGAAAGAATACACAAGAATAGTATAATCTTATGAGACTGAACCCAGCAGTCCAACTATCAAGAAATAAATAAGCATAAAAGCAATCAAAAGTTAAGAAAATTAGAAAAAGAAAACCTAAGACCACAGGAAAAGGAGACTAACAACTCAAAACTAAAAGTAGCTCATGTAGACTGTAGAATAATAAATTTAAAAGATGCTCCCATTGGTTGACATACATCAAACTAAATTCACATACATAAGAAATCATGTTTCAAAGAGATCATAATAAGCCATAAGAAAGGAAGATTAGACCAAGAGAAACTAAAATAAAGAAGAGTTTATGCCTTGAAGACTCTCATAGTATGAAATTGTACTCTCTCTATTCCAAAATAATAGGCCACTTTCTAAGATGGGTTTGCAATAATCTAGGCTTGCCCATAGTGCCCTTAATGACAGTCATAGGAAAGAACTTTATATGTAGGCTACATTGGTGGGTGGAGATGTAAAATATATATAATTGAAGGATAGACATTGTATACTAGCTTAATTCCTTTAAAACGACCCCAAATACAATGCAGACCACTATTTAGGGGCAGGGGGAGTAGTAAGAAACTAAGAACTAAGAAGATTCACATACAAAAGGTTTCAAGGTAACATTTATCCTCTTTCGGAGTAACAAAACAAAGGTTACTTGTGCACACAACATACCAGAAAAGGAAGAGTTTAACATCATTCAAATTTCGGATGCAGCCACTGCAACGGTTGCAGAACCAGTTTTGCAGGCAATGCAGATAGTTGCAGCTTTTGCTGCCTAAAGTATCGGTCACAGTAAGTTCAAAAACATTTGCAATTTGGTGAATGGTGATACAACCGAGATACAATACTAAGGTGTTAAAGATTCAGTCATACTTGGTGAAAAACTACTAATTTTCCAGTAAGTGCAGAACATAGAGATAAAATGTGACACCAAAGACAACAGCCAATCATGCCTTGTAATCCATTTCCCTAAGATGGGTATCAATCCAAACCTTTGCAATTTAACATCCACAAAGATTCTAAAAAAATAATATAAATTTCCACTCCACCTCAGGCAGTGATACAGAAATTGAAAATACACTTTGATACGTAAGACAGTGACAAACTTACATCACTATTTAAAGCATCTGTGGCAGTTTTGCGTTCGGCTGGATCAATTGCAAGAAGCGTATCAATTAACGACAATGCTGAGGGCGGGAAATCTCTAAAGGTCTCTCTTATACATCTTTTGTACGGCTCTCGTGGCTTGAATATTGTTGCATTTGGCAACTTTGATTTTTTCCAGTACTCGTCAGAAGGTGAACCACATAACTTGTATATCTTATGTAATTGCTCCACCTAAGAAAGCAAAGAAGATTAACAGTATGAGTAGCAGTATATAACAGACCAGGCCCAACAACAGTTTGCCAAAAAAAAATTGAACAGTACAAACATGGTTCACATCATAGATGAAGTACCATGAAAACACGATTCAATTAATACAACGAAAAGAGCTCCATAATACATGAAAACAATAGTCAACAAGTTACTAAGTTACACTAAACATTGAAGTGAGTACAGGTGAAATAATTGTCAGCAATGCTGACCAGGATTAACATTATAAGGCTATCGGTATTCGGCTACAGAAATATTTAAAACAAAATAAAAAGGACAGACTTGTATGATCTTCTTAAGACACATGCACAAGAAATATACAAAGTTGGTGAGTCAATTCAAAGTTCTTAGTATGGGTCAGTGAAGTTAGCAGACTAGAAAATCAGATTAGTACCTCAGTGCGACCAGGCATGATAGGCCTCCCAGCCAATAACTCGGCCAAAATGCAGCCAGCACTCCACAAATCGATGCCAACACTATAATCAGTAGCCCCGAGAAGAAGTTCTGGGGCTCGGTACCATAGAGTGACAACACGACTGGTCATAGGATGCTTCTTGTTTGGATCAAAAAAGGTAGCCAATCCAAAATCAGCTATTTTAAGTATTCCTCCATTGTCAAGCAGAAGATTTGATCCCTTGATATCACGGTGAAGAACACCGCGATTATGACAGTGCTCTAGTCCAGAAATCAGCTGGTGCATATAACATTTTACCTGCAGTTATGAATACTGCTAATTACTAAACAAAGAGCTGGAATGAAACAACAAGCTCAGCAGGTTTTACACCAGATGAACAGCATACTTATGTACAAAGATGGACCTTCACAAACCTGTGGCTCCGTAAACTTAATATCTGGACTGGCAGCAAGTCCAGCTAGATCATGCTCCATGTACTCAAACACCAAATACAAACTACAGGACATCCTTGAAGTAACCAACCCTTCAAGTTTCACAACATTGGGATGGTCTAATCTGCGTAAGATCAAAATCTCTCTAGCCATGAACTTAACACTCTCAGGCTCCAAATTATCAAACCGGACCTTCTTAAGTGCAACTATCTTCCCGGTTAACGAATCTCTGGCTTTATATACATTACTATATGTTCCTTGCCCAATCTATCATTAACAAAGAAAACACAATAAGCAGCAATCACAAACAACTTTGACAAATTACAAAAGGTTCAAGCAAACACCAACCAGCAAACAAAAGTGAAGCATAACAGATAACATCCTCACCTTATCAATCTTTTCGAAAGTATCAGCTCGCCTCGGAACCCATCCATCAATAGCTTCACCAGCAACAGCAGAAAGCCAAGAGGGCCATCCAGCAGCCACCTGCTCACCATGTACATTCTTAGGAGGATTGCTCAACCTAGGATTCGGCTTCGATCGCCGCCTCTCGCCCCTCGGCTTCTGACTTCTACCTTTCCCTTCCCCATCCTCCTCCCCTTTCTTCTCCCCCTCCTTCCTTCCACCATCATTCAACTCAACACCCCCATTCTCCCCCTCTTTCCCTGCATCCCAACCAGACGCAACATCTGCAACAGGCAAATCAACCTTCCTACCAGATTCAACCCCCAAATTCTCTTTCTCTCTCCTCCCACCTCTCTCCCTCCCCTCAGGAGCTGCTATCTCTTTCCCAAAAACACAACCCATCTTCTATTAACCCTAAAAACCCTCATATCTCACCATAATCCAACGATCTACTCCAATTAACCCCTGATTAATCACTACCCAGAAACCCTAATCCCCTAAAATCTTCAAAAATCAACAACTGAAACAGCCAAACAATGCCAAATCATTAAACCCCACTAACATAAAATCAAACCCCACATACAAAAACATGGATTCATCAAACAATCAAGAAAAAAAATGACTTACTTTAGCAAAAATTGGGCAGTAAAGAGACAATTAATTGACCATTTTTCTCGGAGATTTTGTATGATTGATACAAAAACAATGGGCCCCTCTGTACAACTAGCAAAAGGGGTTGTCAAAGACTAATAAGGAGCTGTTTTTCTTTATTCAAATTCTCCCAAACTTATCTCGAAAACCGGCGAAATTAAAGGGGGGTTTTCCGGCGCCGGAGAAGAAGAATAGCCGGAGAAAATTGGTGGGATTGTTGGGGTTGTTGAAGGATGAAATGGGTTGTTGTTTGTTCTTCGAACAGCAGCTAAGTCAAAAACAAAATTGTTTGTTTTCTCTCTCCTTTTTTGATTTTCGCTTTTGCTTTGCTTTGTTTTGTTTTGTTTCTCTCTCTCCTCCTGGGTTGAATACAGTGGTTGTAGTAGCCCACACTTGAATGATCTCACAGCTTGTGGGGTACCCTTTTGGCTAATGGTTTGGACGTTTTTCCAAAGTGAGTCAATTTTGGCAAATATTAATCAAAATGGTTGCGTGGTAAAAGTATTTACCAAACTAAGCTTCCAAGCTAAAACGCTGTCTCGGTCAGCGTTTTATGCCTGGGTTTTTTTAAAAAAAAAATCAACCTAAAAACGATGTCTGGGACAGCGTCTTTGTTGTTGACCTTTTTTTAAAAAAATTTTGTAATTGTCTTTTATTTATAAAAATGTTTTAAAAAACAAAAGCAGTTATACCAAAGACGCTGTCCCAGACAGCGTTTAACTCTGGAACTATAAACGCTGTCTCAGACAGCGTTTAAGGTTATTAATGAAACGCTGTCTGAGACAGCGTTTCTGTCGTTTTTTTTTTCCCATCGAACAGCGTATTTCATTTCATTTCCTCCTCCTTCATTCGCAAACCCCTTCTTTCCCAAACTCTAACTTAATCCCCCTCTCTCTCATACTTGTGCTCCTCCGTGTAGACCGCCGCCGGCACCGCCACCTCCACCGTCGCCCTCCGTGTAGCCCACTATACACTCCCCTCACCCTGAAATAGGTATTCATTCAACTTTCTTTGTGTTTTAAATTCTAGGGTTTATGTTGGTTATTTCTAATTTTTTTGGAATTGGGTTAAAATGTTGATGAGGTTGAGTTGTTAGTGTTAAAAATGTTGAATTGTTAGTGTTGGTATTGTTGAATTATTAGTGTTGGTAATTGTTGAATTGTTAGTGTTGATAATGGTAGTGTTGATATTGTTAGTGTTGATAATAGTTTGGATAATGTTGAATTGTTGTTGTTGGTTTTGTTGAAAATTGTTGACAATGGTTGATAATTATTAGGTTTTGAACAATTGTAATTACCTACAATGTTGTGTAATAATGGTGATTTAGGGGTTCTTAGTAGTTAATTTGTAGAGTATGTAAAAAAATTTTGTTTGATTGTGGTGATTTAGGGATGATTTAACGGTTTTACGTAAAATGTGTTTTGGTTGTTATGTAGAATATGGCTGGACAAAATGTAGCGTTGTTATGTCGATGGGGAGGTGAAATTTTGTGTAATGGATCAAATGTGGAGTACAGTGGAGGGAATATGGACCTTATAACACTTGAACCGAACATGACTGTGACTGATCTGATGAATGAGGTTCACAGTTGTATTGGTTCAAACCCTATGACTGTTGAACTGAACCTTAAAATGAGGTGTGATACTGGTCATGGGGTGCAAGTGTTACCTGTCTCTACGAACAGACATTTGAAAGGTTTGAAGAGCATGGTAGGAATGAAGGGTTTTCCCAATGAGATATGTGTAGAAACAGTGCCTATATGTACCCAACAAAGTACTCGGGCAGAACAGCAAGCTACATATGTCTCTGATTACAACACCGCGTCCTTCCAAGAGCCCGCAAACCACATTCCATCGAATGCATATGGGATGGGTTCTTTCACTCGAATGATGCAGGACGACCAATTTCACTTGCCTTTTAGTTCTCATATAGCTTCACCAGTACATGCGGGGGGACGCGTGACAGTGTTCGGCCAGCCTGCTCCGTCGTCATCGAACACTGTGGCATCTTCGCCGATGCAATTGCATAGCTACTCTCCTATGCAAGGTGATGATGGTTCACCGTTTCGAGAAGAGCCAAATGATTTTGATGATGTTGTGAATAATGAATTGTCGGTGTATGATGTGTATGCGGAAATGGATGATGAGGACGAGAACGGAGAGGGGGATGATGAACCTACACAGGTGGAAGATGGTCAGCCGTTGGTTAGAACTCCCATACCTTGGTTCAGTGAGGTACCCGAGAACTATGAAGTTGATCAGTATTGGGCCGAATCGGGTAGCCACACCTCTTTTGTTCCCGGGGGAGAATTTGAGAAGGGAATGTATTTTGAGAGCAAGAAACTGCTTCAAGAAAAGGTGAAGATGTATTCTATTCAGAGGAATCAATTCTACACCACAGTGACCTCGAATGATGGTGTCTTACATCTGCGATGCAAGAAGAAATGTGGTTGGATGCTACGGGGTACCAAATCGAGTGAGCACTCACGTGGTTTTACCATAGTCACGTACAAAGGTCCGCATCGGGAGACATGTATCAGTGAAGTACTATCTAATGATCACCCACACTTGGATTCGTCCGTAATAGCCGAGTATGTGAAGTCCTTTGTGCCGAAAGATCCTTCGTTGAAAGTGGAATTCATACAGGAACTGATCTCGAAGCAATTTCATTTCGATATCCCGTATCGACGAGCGTGGTACGCCAAGGAGAAAGCTATAGCTGAGATATTTGGGGATTAAGAGAGTTCATATGGCAGACTTCCCCACTTCATGCAAGCACTCCTACGGTCGAACCCGGGAACATGTGTCGTATGGAAACACAAAGCTTTAGTGGATGGTGTATACTACAGCAACATGGAAGTGTTTGAACGAGTGTTTTGGGCCTTCGGTCCTTGTATCGATGGCTTTAAACATTGTATGCCTGTTATCTGTATCGATGGGACGCACTTGTACGGGAAGTATAAAGGAACACTGTTGGTTGCTACGAGTGTTGATGCAAGCTTCCAAGTATTTCCTATTGCATTTGCGGTGGTTGAAGAGGAAAACACTTCCAGCTGGTCTTGGTTCCTAGGTTGTATTCGAGATCGTGTCACGCAACGGGATGGCCTTTGTGTTATTTCTGATCGGCATCCTAGGATCATTGCAGCAATGAATGATCCTAATGTTGGATTCACCCAGCCCCGAGCGTATCACAGGTTTTGTGTCCGCCACATAGCCTCTAACTTGAAGACTCACGTGCGAAGTAACGACATGAGAGACATGTTCAAGGCCGCTGCGTACCAAAGGCAAGAAAGAAAACTTCAAGCTGATCTGTGTTTCATTGGTGAGGCCTGTCCCAAGGCCATTGAGTACATTGCTCAAGTCCCGTTCCCTATGTGGTCTCTGTTTCACGACAGTGGTCGCAGGTATGGTATATGTACTACTAACTTCTCGGAGACATTCAACAATGTGCTGAAAGGAGCTCGGTTTCTACCGATTATGTCCCTTGTCGAGTTAACCTTCCATAGAGTTAACAAGTATTTCACTTTGAGAAGGGAGTCTTCTGAGGCTAGGTCTGATCAGGGACTTCCATACCCCCCAAAGGTCACTGCCATCCTCGAGAAGAACACCGCTAAAGCCAGATATCATAGAGTGGATGCCTATAACCGGCGATTGCATATTTACCAAGTGACAACAGAGAGGGGAGAGAGAGTTGGTAATAAAGGAGGCCACAAGCATACGGTGAACTGGCAGTTGAGAACGTGTACGTGCAACAAACAGAAGATATTCCACCTCCCATGTTCTCATGTGCTAGCAGTCTGTGCTACATACTCACTATCAGAACGGCCTTGGGTGGACCCTCTGTTGCAGTCGGCCGCCTACATGAACACCTATGCACCACAGTTCTGGCCGATCCCCTGCGAGACAACCTGGGCACAGTGGGCACAGTACGTAGGCCCTAAACTCATTCCGGATGGCACAATGATACGTGGAAAAGGTCGTCCAAAGTCGAAGCGCATACGCAATGAGATGGATGACAGCAACCGGCCCCCAACCAAATGCAGCCATTGTCACGAGCAAGGTCACAACCGCACTACTTGTCGATCTAGACCAACATAGGACCTAAGTGTATATGTGTTATTTGATATAGTAGTATGTAGTGGTGTTATTTTGATGAAACAATTATACTTTTCTACATTATGTGTTATTGTGTTCAATTCGATGAATTTTATTTTGTACGTTGGATGTTCGAGATTTCCTGTTTATGCCTTTCAATCGAAATTAGTATTCAATATATTGTGTTAGTGTTTGGTGTGTAACGTTTTCAATGAACAGATATCATGGACGTACGGGATAGGACACCCGGACCTGTTGACCCTTCTGTCCTGACACTACAGGACACCCATCGGAGCGTCGCGTATGGAACCTGACGGTAATGATTCATCTTTAACGTTTTTGGATTCTTTGATGTACTATCTTTTGTTACTTATAAATGCTCCTGTGTTTTCAGGGTGACGTAGCGAAGCCACTACAGTGCAGGCACTACAGGACCCCCTAGGTTGTCCATGATCGCTGCCTTGAGTACGTGACGTACGCTGGCTTTGGCGGTGTACATCGCTTAGGATTCAGGGAGATCGACCGACACCTTGTCACGGCGTTAGTGGAGAGATGGAGGCAGGAGAAGCACTCCTTCCACCTACCAATTGGGGAGGCGACTGTGACATTGCGGGACGTGGCAATACTGACGCGCCTTCCAGTACAGGGGACTGCGGTGACGGGATCATTTCTAGTCGATCCCGTTGGATTGGTTGTGCGGGTTCTCGGGGTGCAGCCGGGTCCCAACGATGTTAGGGGCTCCGCCTTGAGGACGGTCTGGTTACGAGATACTTTCCAGGGCTTGCCTGCGGACGCCGATGACGCCACAGTACAGAGATACGCTCGAGCGTACTTGTTCTTCCTCATATCCGGCGTGTTGTTCGGCAACAAGAGCGGGAGCCACTTGCAGCTTATTTACCTACAGCTGTTAGACCACGACTGGGAGCATATCCGTGGATACAGCTGGGGTAGTGCCTCTTTGGCGGTGTTGTATCGCCAACTTTGCAGAGCCTCACGGAGTGGTGCGCTCGAGATTGGAGGACCTCTGTTTGTGCTTCAGGTATACTACGTATATTATCACAAGCGAATTATGCAATGAGTAATGTCATATTTAACATAGTTTTGTATTTTGCTATTGAAGCTATGGGTTTGGGAGCACATCCACGTAGGAAGACCAGGTAGGCCTGCTGTACATCGTCCGGGGCAGCAGGACCAGGATGACCAGTATGAGCCGTACATCGCTCCGCCTCGCCCTGCAGCTGATGAGGCTTACGGTTGCAGGTTTGTAACAATTGTCATTTTTTTTTCCCATATACGATTTCATTTTGTAAACATACTTACCAAATTTGTTGCCCCAGGTGGATGGTCCCCAGACTCACACAGGCACATGCGGCGACGGGTCTCCCATACTACCGAGACGCCCTTGATCGACTCACTGAGGATCAGGTACAAACTCTGAAGACATTTGCAATCATTTAGGTACTGTGTATACTGATTGTGGACTAACTTGTTTAGGATGTGTTATTGCAGATCACATGGGATCCGTATGTACCGGAGTTGGTAGATGTCATGCCTGCACATCTACTGGAGCATCAGGGAGAGTGGCGTGCCCGGGTCCACCTGATCTGTTTCGAGGTTGTGGAGAGTCACCTACCTGACCGCGTCATGCGACAGTTCGGACTGCAGCAGCCTATTCCCCAGAACTGTGACACTGTCGTGCGCCTTCACGACATTGACCGTCGGGGAAAGACGGAGACAAACTGGGCACTGGAACATTGGCAGTATCTTCAGCTATGGGAGCAGCGGTTGGGTCATGTCGTTCAGGGTTATCCCATGCAGGGCGTTATGGATCATGACGATCCGTACATGGTGTGGTACAGGCTTATCACACGCCGTTTCATCAACCCCAGCTACACACCACCGTCCACCCATTACCACCCGGCACATGACGTCATTAGCGGATATGTGAGTTTCTTTTACTATACTTATCATCCTCATTTTTTAACTTTTTTAAATATCATGTACTTAACTGATCGATGATTACTACAGGCGGCGGATATGGTGGCGATGTATGATGCACTGTCCCTCGCCCTTACAGACGGACCCACCAGAGCCCAGGTCCAGCGGATGCGAGATATGTCCGCGACTTCCTTACGCAGACATGGTCACGGTCATCTCATCCAACAGCGGGACGGTGATGATGGTCACTCCATCCATTCGCGGTTCGACCCCGGCCAGAGTAGCAGTGGAGGTGATCCTACGTCGCACACAGAGGCAGAGGAGTACATCTTCCACAGTTCTGCACCCTTCAGAACCCAGGAGGACGCATCGTCCAGCCAGCTCACTCCCCACCCGCGCCGGAACCCATTCACCACCATTCACCATTACACTCGGCGTCGTCCAAGACGAAGGGACGACAGTGAGGCTAGGGAAGGGTTACACCAAATTGATGAGTAGTGAACGTATTGTATCATTGTTTTGTCCTTTTTCCTGGAATGTTGTATATAACGATTGCATTATCAATATAAGACATGCTGGTTGAATGAATCTGTTTGTGTTTTGAAGTTTTGTTTGCTTATTTATCCAAATTGGATTTATGTCAGTCAAAATAGATCCTTCAGGGCTAATGTACATTAAACAACAGACATTTGGAATCCATAGTCGAAAATAGGGAAGAAAGGATGGCCCGTGGTGGTTAATGTGGTTGTTCATGGTGGTTTTAGTGTTGTTGGTTGTGGTGGGTGGTTATCGACGGTTGTTGAATGGTTGGGGTTGGTGGTGGAGCTGGTTGAAGTGTTGTTGGAGGTCAAAAGTGGTGGCAGATGGTGGTCGATGGTGGGGGTTGTTGGTGGATTGTGGTGGCAAGAATCATGGCAGGGGGTGGTGGGTGGGGGCAGAAGAAAGTGGCAGATCAGTGGCAAAAGGCTGATTCTGCTGCTGTTTTGCACACCAGCAGAGAAACGGTGTCCCAGACAACATTTTAGGTTGAAAATAAGACGCTGTCTGAGACAGCGTTTTAGGTACAAGGAAGTTTGTACATAAAGCGCTGTCTGGGACAGCGTCTTTGGTATAACTGTTTTTGTTTTTTAAAAACATTTTTATAAATAAAAGGCAATTACAAAAATTTTTAAAAAAAAGGTCAACAACAAAGACGTTGTCCCATACAGCGTTTTTAGGTTGATTTTTTTTTAAAAAAAACCCAGGCATAAAACGCTGACCGAGACAACGTTTTAGCCTGGAAGCTTAGTTTGGTAAATACTTTTGCCACGCAACCATTTTGGTTAATATTTGCCAAAATTGGCTCACTTTGGAAAAACTGCCTAATGGTTTGGTTGCTCCTTTTTACCAATCCCAAATCTTCTTCTCTTCAATTGTGGACATTTTCATGGGATGGTAAGATTATTATAATTCGGGTGTTTTTTCTTCGGCTTATTTTCAGTTCAGTTTATTTTAAGGTTAATTTTTAACTTACTACCCAAAAATGTAATCATTTTCAAACTAACCATTCATTTAATTTTTTATTTTAAACTATCACCCCTAAAATTAAATAAATGCTCAGATTACCACTCATTTCAAAAATCTAGTGGATTTTCCATCTATAAACCCCCACATAACACTTATTTTGGCTCTTTTGAGTGATTTTTCCCCGGTTTTTCTCTTTAAAAACGCTCTCTAAACTTTAATTCACATTTCCTTCACCAAATTCTACCAAATTTCAAAGAGAAAAATGTGAATTGAAGTTAGGAGAGCGTTTTAAAAGAGAATAATCGGGGAAAAAATCAGTCAATAGGGTCAAAATAAGCGTTAGGTCAGGCCCACAGACGAAAAATCCACAGGGTTTTTGAATTGGGTGATAATCTGGGCATTTATTTAATTTAAGGGGTGGTAATTTAAAATAAAAAATTAGACGGGTGGTTAGTTTGAAAATGGTAACATTTTTGGGTGGTAATTTAAAAAATTTCCTTATTTTAATTTCTAATAATCTTCTCTCATTAAATATTTAATTTAATTCAGTTTAGTAAATCAAAATAGGTCCTACATGACTCTTTGTGGTGAAATTTTAAGGGTGGTATACTGGTATTATGACTATAATCTAGTTTATGCATTTTTTTATGAGATGGTCTTGCTTGTTAGAGAGATTTTTGATGATTTGTTAACCGATTGTCTAGTATATGTTGATTTGATGAGTTCTTTGCATCATTGTATGTATGAGATTTAAAAAAAATAAAAAATAAAAAATAAAGGTAACTGTATTGTAAATGTTGGTTTTGAATTTTTTTATTTGTTAATGAAACATCTAAAATTTATAACCTCAATTTAAGGCATGTTCTTGTCAGCTTAATTCCAGTGCAGTTTAGTTTAACTCCAACAAATTCAGTTCAATTCCTATTTTCCTTCTCTCATAAACAATTCAGTTCAGCTCACTTCAGTTTAGTTCAATTCAGTTCGGCTTCAATTAGTTCAATTCAGTTCTACTCAACTCAGTTAAATAAACCAGAACGAACCCTTAGTATTCATTTTCATTTTACATGTTTCAATAACAAAATAGATACAACATATACTAATGATAAAAAAAAAATTATAATTTTAATTGAATTAGTGAGTTTGTCTAAACATATTATAACTTTATTAACTTATTAAGTAATAACTCTCAAGTATAAATGAGAAGAACACTCCCTAAAATTGAAGTCGAAGGGATTTGGCTCCCGTGTTGTCATTTTCAAATTCCAATGACCCCTTCATCCCCAATTTATCTATTATAGTAAGGTGTCATTTGGTTGCTGTGGGAAATTACTTCCCATAGGAATTTGTATTTCATGGGAATTAAATTCCTACATCAAAATCATGGGAATTGTATAAAGTTGTTTGGTTGGCATGAGGGAAGTTGCAAATCATAGGAAGTTTGACTTACCTAGGGGGGGTTAGGTAATTAACTTCCCATGTTTTGTGGGAAGTCACAATTCCCATGAATTTGCAATTCCCTCATTTACACTTTTTATTGTCAACCAAACAACTTATGTATTTTCAAATTCCCATGATTTTCCACTTCCTCCATTTTCTTTGTGTAACCAAACAACCCCTAAGAATTATGAAAATTTTCTTCCAAAAATATATTGAAAAACTAGAGGAAAAAAAAAAAAGTTTTAGTCATTTTATAAACACATACCAAATTACCAATGTACCATGTCATCCTCATTATTCTACAAATATTTGCTTTGGACTTTTGTTATCAGGCAGCTGTTGCAAGATTTGTCAATTGGTCATCCTCTTCAACGAATTAGGAGGTATGGAGTAACATTTTTCAACCTATATTAACCTATTTTTCCAAATCATGTGATTATATACTTGTATGAAATTATTGGAACCTGTTTGAACTTATTTTATACGTATAAATATATATATAGATAAAAGTTTAAAAGGATATATCCTAATTAAATAATACAGAGTAGATATCTCTTGGATCAAGATTTGAATGTAGGTGTGTAAACAAATTGAGTGTGGTCCTAGTTAACTTAAAACTTGATAAACTTAGTATTAGTGTTCGAACTATATTTATCATTAATGATTTTTTTTTTAGATTAATGTTAATTAGATAATAAAGTGTTTGACTTATTCGAGTTTAGCTTGGGAATGAGCTAGTTTACATACTGAGTTTAAGGCTTTATTTGGTTCATCTAATTTTGCCTGAAATGATTTATATAATGAACTTATTTTATTTTATACGTGTTTTTTAAGTTGAACTTAGTTATTTTATACGTACTTAAATCATTGAATTATTTGAACTTATTTTATCGAAATATTTTGTCAAAATTTTTCTCGGTTTATTTTATATGAATTTCTTTTTATTATTACACTTATTTTATCTAAGGGTCTGTTCGCATTTACTGAACTGAGCTGAATTGAACTGAACTGAACTAAACTGATTGGAGCTGAACTGAACTGAATTGAACTTATTGAAGCTGAACTGAACTGAATTGAACTGAGTTGAAATAAATATTTTATGAGAGAGGGGAATTAGGAGCTGAACTGAATTGAAATTAAGTAAATATGAACAAACCCTAAGCATATAAAGATGAAAGTTTAAAAGGACATCCTAAAATGACAGATCTCTCTTTGATCAGGATTTTAATGTTGGTTTGCTAACACGTTGATAAAAATAATATTAGTGTTTGAACTATCTTTATCTTTAATGTTTTTTTTTAAAGAGTATTGTTTGATTGGATAATAAAGTGTTTGACTTGTTGGAGTTTAGCCCATGAATAAACTAATTTGCATATTGAAATTAAGGCTCTGTATGGTTCATCTAATTTTGTCAAACTTATTTATATGAAATTAATTTAATTTAAAAAAATTTGATTTAAATAATAATCCAACCTTTGCTCGATTTATTTTTAATAATAATCCAACTTTTTGATTATTCTAATCTTTGCTCAGGCAACTTGGTGGTGTAGGTTGGTGACTGGTTTGGTCTAACAGAATAGAAAGGGGTATAAAGCTTGGATTATGATGGAATCATAAAAAGGTTGGATTATTAAAAATAGGAAAACTTGATTTTAATAATCCCAAATTTGATCGATTTTCTTTAAAAAAATCCTAACTGTTGGTTATTCTATATTAATCTAACTTGCATAGGTATCTTCTTATTATAATCCCAAATTTGATCGATTTTCTTTAAAAAAATCCTAACTGTTGGTTATTCTATATTAATCTAACTTGCATAGGTATCTTCTTATTATAATCCGAAATTTTATTTTTATTATAAAATAGTCCTAAAAGGGATTTAAAAAAAAGCAACAAAAACGACACTTCGAAATATTTTAGGAAGATACATATATAAGTTGTGATTGTTCTAGAATAAATAAAAGTTGAGATTTTCTTAAAAGAAATCAGTCAAATTAAAGTTAAGATTATTAAAAATAATCAAAATGTGCTTTTTTTAAGCTGAACTTAATTTATTTTATATGTACTTATTTCATTAAAATTGTTTGAACTTAATTTGTTGAAATATTTTGTCTAAACTTATTTGATTTTATTTTATATGAATTTATATTTTCTGAACTTGTTTTATCTCAAAATATTTTTGTCTTATCTAAAATTATTTTCAAGACTTATTTATCTAAAATTATCTTAAATCATTATTTGAAATATGTTGAAATAAGATGAAACAAACAAATCTTAGAATTTCAGTTCAATTCAGTTTAGTTCCGAATTTTCTTCTCTCATAAACAATTCATTTCAGCTCTATTCAGTTCACTTCAGTTTAGTTCAGCTCAGCTCCAATCATTTCAGTTCAATTGTTTTTAGTAAATCGGAACATGCCCTAAGTTTGACTTATCTTTATAAAATATAAAATGATCAATACATAGTACAAACTATTTTTTAAAAGATCTTATGCATGCATTCATTCAATCTGATATGGAGTACAAAATTTTGTCACTTAATCTTTCATTATTATTTGTACATTATTTAACAAAATAAGAGTTTTTTTTTTTATATTTGTTGTTGTTGTAAAAGTTTTATTCGCCCGTATAAGATAGTCTAGGTACTTAAATGCTACATGTAGTGCAAGAGAGTTTTATATAGTTCGAACAAGCTAAGTTTTGAATGAGGTATACAAAACAATATACAAATCAAATATATGTGAACGAGTTGTTCACAAACATTTATAAGTGACAAGTAAATATGAAGTTGCTTGAGTTTGACACATATATATATTTAGCAAGCTTAATCATTTTTTGTTCCTGTTTGTTTAATTTTTTTTTTTAAATAATAAAAAAAAAACGAGCTAGAGTATTGACATGTTTTTAATAATGAGAATAGAAGAAATGTGTGCTTTATTAATTATTAAAACTCAAAAGCTCAACTTTTTTTGTCTCAAAGTATTTATATGAACCCATATTTTATTTGCTTAATTATTTCTTCCCTTTGCCAACTTTCTTCACAATTATTTTTATTATCTAAAATTATTTAATTTCTCTTTTTAGGGGGAAATAGAAATTATGATAATACCAAAGAGTTTAATTAAAGTACGTACAATATGGTAAACAGACAAGCGCAGCTTAAAACACTCAAGCTACACAAAACCAAAAAGAAGCAGCAGCCTCAAAAACAAAACATTAAAGCACTAAACCCTTAATTTTCTTATGTTGTAATTCTTGAAAACAATAATATAAACAAGAGATTATAGATTTAATTTGTGCGTGCACAATTTTATTAGGCTTTTCCGCTTTTGTTTGTTGTTCTGGAATAAATCTTAGTGTGCAGTAGATTCATTTCTTGAATTAAGAAACAATATGCATGCTTTATCAA